TGTTTGTCCCTATTTTCTACAGCTATTATCCCACAAGTGAGCCTCATATCTTCCGGTCCATCTATGCCTAATAAAATTTCAGAAACAATTAAAAAAAGGCAAAGAAAAGAACTGAATTTCTCAATATTTGAAATTCAGATAACAATGGAAATCAAAAGATAAAATACCTTGTGACACCACGATATTGAGAAGTTCTTTTACCAAAAGTATCAATAGATTTGCGAGGAACAGTTTCTCTGACGAGGGTATTCCCGTCATGTCGTTTTCGGCTATCGACCTCTTCCAATGGTGCAATTGCAGCCAACCCGTATTGGGAGCTTGGGCTCATGGTAAGGGAGAGTGTCTGAAAGTTACAGTTATTACTAGCTTCACCTGAACGTTTCCCACCAGAAAATGAGGTTTGTCTCAACCAGGATTTGAACCCTGAAGCTGAAGTTGCACTCTCGAAAGGCACATGGTACGTGCCATTGTTTTGGTAATGGTTAGGGTTTGGGTTACGCTGTTGGAGGTTGTGATCACTAGCCATTAGAAATATTTTAGGGTTTCCGTTGTAATGGTAAGTTTGGATCAAAGAAGATAAATTTCTGAAATTCTGTCCAGCTTCCTTGTCCCCGTTAATGTAACTTGGTGCTACATTGACATTGATTCTAGTAGGAACACTGTTTTGGTTTTTGTCTTCCTGGGTTTGACAAAATGCTTTGATCTCTTCAGATGGAAAGTTTGAGCAACAACACCCCAAGAAATCTTCAAGTTTGGGACCCTCCTCACTTTCACTTGCACCCCCAATACCATTTTCATATCTCCAATCTGCAAATAAGCGTTGGAAAAGAAATAAAAAAGAGAACCCATTTCCTGTTGTTCGGTCTTTTCAAGTATATACACCGCAAAAATGAACAAGATGAGAGTAAAAAGAAACTTTTCTCTCATGCAACCATGATTTTTAACCATTAAAAGAAAACATGCATGGTGCAAATTAGTTAAAGTAGTAACACATTATTTCATAGCTAGGGATAAAGAAAGGTGAAGAATAGAGGAAAGAAAGAAGCAAAAAACCTTCATCGCCATTGGAAGAGCGACGAAGAGGATTGACAACACAAAGTGAGCCATCAGAATGCAAAGGCATGATAGAAGAGAAACCTCCATGGTCTTCTCTGCCAAAGCTTTCATCGATTCTAAGGTGTGGAGTCAGAGAAAACCCCAACCAATTATTCATGATGATGGTGGTGATGAATCTCTTATATCAACACAATCTATTACTCTTTTTTCATGCCCTTCTCTCCCTCGAAAAAAAAAAAAAAAACCCAACAAAATGAGAGACTTCTCTCACTCAGTCTTTCTCTTTCTCGGTTCTGTCTCTCTATAAAAATGTTGTAAGCTGCGTGACTTGGGTTGGATTTTAAAGGGCTCAAACTTAAAAAACAAGGAAAATTACTTGACAAAAACAAAGCCCTTCCCGGCTTATATTATCAGCACCGTATGCAGAGGTTTGCAAATGGTTGCTTTGGGTTTCGTGCCCTCTGTTTTATTTCCTCCTTAGTTTTGCAGAGATGAGCAACGTATAAATTGTTAAGCAAAAATTTCATTCTAATTCGCATAAGCGGAATTAATATCAAATAATAAATCAAATATATAAAAGATAATAATTTAATATGATTCGATCACACCAACCTACGTCAACGGATGAGAAATAAAATTTATTAGTTGTAGAGAATTACAAATAAATATCAAATCAAATCAAACACTCATAACTAATATTTATAAACCCTCTCAATCTCTTCTAGTCTTTTGAAGTATTTTCAATCCAAACAAACACATCCCATGTGCACTTTTTCAATACAAATAAATACATACTCATATGTACTAATTCATCATACTTATGTGGATAATTTTAGTCTTTTATAATCTACTCATATGCATCATATCTATGTGGACCCTTTTAGTCTCTTTTAATCCACTCACAAACAAATATATGCCCATAAATACCCATTTATCATTCCTATGTCGATCATCTCAGTTTTCTCTAGTCCATTCACATGCACTATACTCATGTAGACCCTCTCAATCTCCTCTAGTCTACTTACAAATATATAAATATATACACTCGTAAGACGTAAATCTCCAGTAATCTTATGGGATGTCTATTCTATAAAACTCATCTCTCTTATATCTTCTTCTCATAAATAATATTGCAGGGACTTCATCTATTTATAACCATATAAACTTGTCTGTTAAAAATATCTTTTATCTTAGAATTCTTCTTATATAAGTCAAACTTACTTATCAAGTAATATCTAACAAATCTCAAATAAATTTCTTATTGGATTTGAGTTATTATTCTCAATAATCTTCACCTTGACTCAAATTTTATCAAATAATCTATTTTCATGCTAGACATACTTGGCTTCATTTGCAATTGAAGTCTCACAATTATCTTCTCTTACGTGTCTTCAAGCTTCATGCAAATCGATCTTCAATTCTCAAAATATGAACTTGAATTCTTCCTTTAGATCGAGCTCCTATGGGTTTGCCTCTTCCTATGCTTTAATATCACTTGTTAAGCCAAAAGCCCCGATCTAATTTATTTCAGCGGAAGCAATATTAAACAATGAATCAAACACACAAGAGAAATAATTTAACGTAGTTCAATTCAATCGACCTACGTTCACGGATGAAAAATAAGATCCATTAGTTATAGAGAATTATAAATAAATATCAAATCAAATCAAACACTTATAACTAATACTCATATACTCTCTTAATTTCTTCTAGTTCTATGGAGTATTTTCAATCCAAACAAACACATTCCATGTGCACTCTTTCAACACAAATAAATAATATCCATATGTACCCATTTATCATACTTGTGTAGATTATCTTAGTTTCTTCTAGTCCACTCACATGCACCATACCTATGTGGATCTTTTTAGTCTCCTTTATTCTACTCATAAACATACAAACATACACACCCATAAAATATAAAATTTTAGTAGTCTTATGAGATGTCTATCTCATAAAATCATAAAACCTTTTTATGTTTTTTTTTTCATAAATAACCCTGCAAAGACTTCATATATTTATAATCATATAAACTTGTCCATTAAAAATATATATTTTTTATAATTCTTTTTCTACAAGTCAAACTTACCCATCAAATAATATCTAATAAATCTTAAATAAATTTTTTACGAGATTTGAATCATTATTTTTAATAAAAATATATAATTATGACGACATTAATAAAAAAAAAAAAGAAATTGAGATATAGCAAAAAAGCATTGCTCCAATTTTCTACAACGATTGTCCATGGATTCTTAAATTTTCAACACTGATGGTGCACTGAAAATTAAAAGATGGAGCGTCGGGATTTGATTGAGGATAGCCCGGTCCAGGGAAACTTGAAAAAGCAACAAATCTCTGAAAAAAAAAAGGTTGTAGCTTTTGTCAACAATGGTCCAGTTGGGGTTCAATCTAGGAGGCCCAAATCAATGGAATCCATGTCCAAGAAATCTTATAGGCCAGGCTTTTATGATCTCGATTGCAAGGAAGAACCCGTGTAAAAGGTAGAAATGTATAAAAAAAAATGAAGAAAAAGAAAAAGCTTTGCATTAAATAAACGTATCGACACTGGCGGAAAGGAACAGATAAGGGAATTTATAGAGGATAAAGTTGTTGGTATAAGATCGACATCGACATGAATATTCATGGGGACCATCATTGCAAAAGCCAAAAGCTGTATCCTTAACATCCAAAAAAAAAATTAAAAAAAAAAAAAAATTCAATTTGTCATTCTATGTGGTTTATTGTGCCTTTAGATTACACAATGAAATTTCTAAGTTGGGAATTTAAAATTTTAACAGTATAATATATTATCTATATATGGTTTGGTCTTGAAAAAAAATGTATGTCTTCCTGTGTTAGATTAGGAGGCAAAAATGTTCAACACAAAGTTAAAGAGGTAACAACTGTTTTTTTTTTTCATTTAAGTTTGAATTTGACAGTTGTTTTTGTTCTTTAGTTAATAATCATGTCTTTTAATCATAATTTAATCCAATCTTTTCCGTATTGATGACTGAAAACTCAAATAACTTAAACGAAATTTTGGTCTTTGCATGTGGTTTTTTTAATTTTTTTATTCTTTATCTCTTTCAGTGTTAAGGGAAACTGGCAAGCAATGCATGTGACAGAGCATGCCACAAGGTTCCAAACAATTAGCTATCCTATGCTAAGAGATGCAATTTTGTAATTAAAATTTCATGACCATAAAAAATGGAGCAAAACAGGATTAGCAACTAACTAGCTAGCTTCCGGCTAGGAATTAAATTATTTTGATGGGTAGTCATTTGGGTCTAGAAACATATATAGTCAAGATAGACTCCAAAGCATTAGTGAATAGGAATCCTTTTAAAGACAAAACTATATATGTAGACTTCTCATCTTTTAACATACTAAATTGATAATTGTTTTCTTCACTTTGTCTATGGGTCTACTCCTTTGATCGTCATTAGACACTTTTGGCTTAAATATTGCTTTGAAAAACTATAATATTTTGCATATGCTAAGAGAAAAACTTATTTTCAAATGCGAAAATTACCCCTCCACCTTGCTTATAAGTGGCGGATTCTAATTAATATTCCATACCAATATGATTATTAGATAGAGCTGATAATTTTGAATATAATATTATAATATGATATGAAAAAATGTATATAATTTAAGATTTTAATCAAAATCACATATGAATTTAAAAATATAAAAAGTATGTTTTATAATTAATATATTAACATAAATTTTAACATGATAATTTTTATATTTGATGTGTTACATATGAAATAAGCATCTGACTTATACACAAATTGTGAAATTTATTTTTGGATAGTATTTTACCTTTTTTTCTCTTCTTTTCCGAGAAGCAGTTGCAGGCGCACTATGTATTAGGTATAATATTTTACAATCACATTAACCTTTCAATCTTCTTTTATAAATAGCCTGGCAGCCAGCGGCAGCCTTTGCAGTAATCAGCAGCTTTGAACGAACTTTACAGCATTCTCATTACTTCAATCAACGAAGCCATTATCATTTTCCTTTTCTATGATGTCTGCTGCCAAAGCCCAAATTGCTCTAAATACTTGGATCTTTCACATATATATACATATCCATGTCTTTAAGTGGTAGTTGAGGTTCTTTTCCAACATCAAGAAGGGTAGATAACACAGTGACCCAGATCGAACAAGTACAACACTCTCTCTAGGTTTGTAACATACACATCGTCCAACCTCTCTCTTCCTTTCTGATCATACACAGTGCTGAAGCAATAAAACACAATGGCTCCTGTGAAAGATGAGACCATAAAAATGGAAGAAAATGTGTCCCGTAAGAAAGAAGTCAACAAGGGAGCATGGACAGCAGAAGAAGATAGAAAACTGGCTGATGTTATTTCAGTTCATGGTGCTAAAAGGTGGAAGACAGTTGCAATCAAAGCAGGTACTCTTGATTCAATTGAAGCCTGATTGATTAATTTAAGACTTGATATGGCTGTTTGCTGATTTTTCTCTTTTTTATTTTTATTTTTATTTTTTTTATGCAGGTTTAAATAGGTGTGGTAAAAGTTGCAGGCTGAGATGGATGAATTATCTGAGGCCTAACATTAAGAGAGGAAATATATCAGACCAAGAAGAGGACTTGATACTTAGGCTTCATAAACTTCTTGGAAACAGGTTAATTCAGAACTGTAAATATGAATTTGGATGATTGCAATATATATGATCTTACGAGTTGATATTCACTATGATTGAACAACTTTATTTATCTGATGGTTTCCCTCAGGTGGTCTTTGATTGCTGGAAGATTACCAGGACGAACAGATAACGAGATCAAGAACTACTGGAATTCTCATTTGAGAAGGAAAGTAAGCCAGACAGAGAAACAAAGTGGAGCTTCAGTGAGAGAAGGCTGCAAAGTTCGAAAGAGATCAGTGGAGAATGCCAAAGAAGAAGTGAGGGAAGAGAATACATCTACAAATATCAGCTTCGATGTAGACGAGTTCTTTGATTTCTCCAATGACAATCCGCTGAACATGGAGTGGATGAACGAATTTCTTGAAGTTGACGAGGGTATTAATTGAAACTTTATGAAAAAGCAAGATGTGTTTCCATCTCTATAATCATGAATTTATTGCAGGCCACGTTAATCTGTAAAACATCGTTATCTATTCATGAATTTGGCAGGATTTCAGTTTTCTGTCAGCTCTCCTAGTTGCTGAAATGGTGAAACTGCAGCACAACACTTTTGATTGGTCCTAATTAGTGAAGGAAATATCCTTCGGTTTTTTTTTTGTTCTCCACCCTGATTTTGAATACTCACTAGACTAAGAAGTAAAAGAAAATAGAAGAAAACAGACATAAAAACAAAGGGAAGAGAACTAAGAAGAAATTATATACTGTAGTTTTTGGACTATATAGTTCTCAAAAGGGCATAGAGATTCTTTCTATATGATAAAAGTGGCTGGAAAGATAGCCAAAGAGTGATAAAAAAGTGAAAAAAGGATCTGTCTGATTTCTGAAATAATGTGGACAGAACGATTTATCAGATCAATCTGATGAGACAAAAGGCTCCATGTAAGTTAAAAACATGCACCGACAGTCCTACAGCATGATAGCAAAGAAACTTTTGGCTGACAAAAAGAGGGTTTTTCTTTTCCATGTCAAAATAACATTCATATGGTAGCAAACAAATGAACTTGGTTGAGAGTTGATACCATCATTGATTCGATGTGTCAGTAATTCAGCTGAGCCTATGTGACAACGGATCGCCAGGCCAAAGCCATATCTGATTCATCCAAATGAACTTCTTCGCATCAAACCTTCATGTAAGATAGAAGATGACGAAGACTGAATTTTATAGAAATAGTGGGCATGCATCTATTCCCGTTGTTTCATCCAATGAATGAGTTTAAATATGATATACCATTGGAAACTGATCATGTCTTTTTCTGGGTTCGGAATTTTATGCAATGTGAATTAAGATTCCAGCACCAAAAAGATCAAAAAGAAAAACTGTCAAAAGCCAAAAAAAAACAAGATAATTATTCGGTACATGGAAGATATCAGCTACGACAAAGGGTCATATCCAACAGATTCTTGTGAAGGATACATGTTGATCTTCATTTTCATTTGTTTTGGAGTTGAATTTTAGTGGTAAGTACTTTAATAATTTAGGTTTTGATTTAAGGTGCTTCTATTTGCACCGACATTTTTACTTTATACATTTCATTATTAGTGACACCCCAATTTTAAACATCAAAAACTATTTTTTATTCATTATGCCCATGACCCTTCCCCTAACACCCTCGAACCCATTTGCCTCTCAATGTTTCACCTTAATCACTCAAACCTAACTCAAAAATAAATTAAATCATTAAGTTTCGAAATTAATCAAGTTACCGAGCTTCAATATAAAGATAATCTATCTTTCATTTCATTTGATTTCGTTAAATTTTAATTGAATATTGTGTGTGAAATTATAAGTTCCGAAACATTTTTGGAAGCTTTCAAAAGATTCTGAATATACAAATTAGTCATTTATTTTTGTACCATGAAAATGTAATAAAAAAACCTGATCAATTGAGCAGGTGATCGGCTATAAATGTCGAATGAATCATCTACTAGGTCAAGTGTTAATGAAGTACTGAGTTCCTAGGATTATCTACTGCTTTAAAATGATATCTTTGAACGAGGAAGTCATTTGAGACATAATGGGTACAATAAGCTTACACATTGGAAGCACATTCAATGAAGTTTCTGCTGCATACGTGGCAAGCACTAAAGAGTAATAATTTCTGAAGGGAGAAAGGTAAGCGGTAAGAATTTCAAGGACAATTTGTCTTGACATCAAAACAGATTCGATAATTGCTGCCAATCAACAGAGGATGTACTTGAAGCATGTGAACCATGACAAGTTTTCTACATGCGTAACTTCAAAATCTATAGCTTGAAGTTGAACATGTTAATGCAAATGACAACAATCACTACAATAAAATAGAATATTAGTGACAATTTTATAGTGACATTTTATTTATAAATACCGTTAGTTTTTGTATTTTTATAAAATTTATGATATTTTTATCAAAATATCACTAAATATTTAAATAACGACGTTTGTATTTATAAATATCACTAAAAAAAATTAACGGCATTTATCAACTAAAATACTTAAAATAATCTTCTCTAAAAAAATTAAAGTAATTATTGAAGGTATTTTTTACGAAAAATACCTTGAATAATCCCATCATAAAAATAGATAGAAAATTATTGAAGGCATTTTTGGTAGATAACACTTTGAATAATTGCATTCAATAATCCCTTCATAAAAAATGTAGGCTATTATTGAAGGTGTTTTATACCAAAAACACCTTCAATAATTCTTTTAAAAAATTGAAAAGAAAATATTCTATCAAATTTTAAGGGGGTGGCCTAAAATTACCTTTTAAATAAAACTACAGTAGCTTTGTCAGTTAAATAATACGGTTATTAATCATAAAGTCATAGGTTTGATCTATCATTTTAGCGTTTTTTGGGTTTTTGAAAGGATTATTTGTAAGGGATTATTCAATATATTTTCTGACAAAAAACGTATTCAATAATTCATTAAAAAAATTTTAGAGAGAGAATATTGAAGGCGTTTTCGACAAAAAAATACCTTTAATAATCCATAGAAAAATTTTGGAACGGATACTTGAAGGCATTTTTTTGGCAAAAATGCCTTCAATAGTCCACTCAATAAATTTTTATGAGGATTATTGAAGGTGTTTTTAGTTAGAAATGCCTTTAATAACCCCATTTAACATTTTGTTAGGGATTATTTAATGTATTTTTTGGCTAAAAATGCATTCAGTAATCCCATAAAAAATTTGGTTTAATTATATATGTAAGTCAGTTATAGGTTTATGCTAAAAAAATATTTGGTTTATATATGTGATAGTACGAATTACATTTTAAAATTTATATTATGAACATTGTAGTATTTCAATAAATTAATCACACATATGAATTTAAAACTGATAACGTTGCATATAAATATACTTTTCTCAAATAATTGCACTCAATATATGTGTATTCACATAAAACAAATATATACCAAAAATATTAAACCAATACCCCAATCTAGAAACTTAAATTATCCATTCAACATGGCATGTTAAATACATTATAATAAATGAAATGCATATATTTACACCCGACCAACAATCTCCAACCTCAAGGTTTAACAAACAATAATATATACTCACACCATTCTTTACGAACTTCATTAAGTTTGTCTATCGTAAAGCTTTCTTTACTCTTCTACAAAAAAAAATAGAACTAAATGCTAATAAACAAGAAAATAATTTAGCTTTTTTTTTAAAGATATAACGATTTTATGAAATTAATACTAATCTTGAATGGTGTGATCATAAAATCATATAATAATATCTCTTTCATAAAACGAAGGACATAATATCCACATTCAGTATATCTCAATTGATGAAGTACTTGAAAAATAAATTTATTAAGTTCAGGAAACATGTATCTAAACAAATTAAGCATAAAAGAATAAATTTTATATTTACTGATAATGACACCCAATCTATCTTTGCTTTTTTACCAACTACAAATAATACCCTTAATTGAAAAGAAAAAAATTACTTAATACAAAAATAAAAGTAATTATGAAGAAAAAAATAATATAATAAAATATAATACATCTTTATAAAATTTTTAATATTGGGGTTAGGCATTATCGTTGGTTGAGTCGAATTAAATAAGTATGGCATTAAGGACTTGCCATCAATCACAATAAGCTACCAATGATGATTGTAAAATAATAATAATGATATACTCAGATTAGGTATCATCTCAGATTCAGTTAAGTTTGAAATAATTATTTGTATGAATATAACTTATGCAGCATTATACGGGAGCAAATAATAATCAACCCATTTTTTTATGCATTCAATCATATGACAAGTAGGAAAAAACTACTATGCCACTTTGCTTACTAATAATATTGGGGTCAACGAATCTGAATCGGTGGTTATTTCTCTCGCCTTAACCTCTTTATTTAGGAAGTTACACGATAACAATCAACAATACTAGTTAGTAATACAATATAATATAGATTAATAAACATTGATTTTGTATATTTAAATTTATAAGCTAACCTCATATAAGCAATAATATCAGCAGCTGATATTTCATCCAGGTTACAAAATTCTTGAACCTCATCTTAACCAATATAAGAAAGTGATGGTTGATCAAATAACCTATCCTCAGACTTAACTGTAATGTAATTTTTTCCGGAATAAATGATCAATTGAATAATTAGATAACTCATCAATGGTAGCCCAAGCATGGGTCATACTCTGAGTCTCAACATCCTGCTATAATATATAATGAAATATAAATATTAATACCAAATCAATAAATATAAAAAAATAAATATTAAGTGAATAAATAAAATCATACTTCATGGTTGGTATCAGGGGTTAGGTTTATTGTCTGACTTGCAACGAAAGATTTTCTATGTGGATGATGTTATCCAACTGGCCTATAGGCATGCTAGGCTGCATTGCTGTCAACATCGCCTCTAAAATCGTAAGTCATTTGCTGTTGGTCATTCAAAAATTACTCTTGCTCATCAAGTTTTTGCTGTTGTTGCTCAATTATTGCTTCATATTATGCATTCGTCATTTGAGATGTTTTTGTTGATTATTGAAAAATTTTGATGGCAACATAAATTTACCAATCCCTTCGAACTCGACTATGTCTCTCTTTTGCACCTAATGCCAAAGATAAGGGATATTCACCATACTAAGTTGTCAGTTTATCATATTTAACTTTACTAGCATAATCATCTTGAAAGACAATAATAAAATCGATTGTAACAACAAATCTATACAAGCTAGTCTACAGTCATGCATACAAATATAAAATCAATCATATGTAATATAATGAGCAGTTATACATATAATCTTTTAGTTATTTTTTCGTTTGCTTCAATTGTGAAGGATCCATCCTTTCGCATATGTCCTTATTTCCACACATCTCATCTAGAAACTTTGATACTAGAGCTAGTTGATTCCTAATAAATTACCATAATATAAGAATCATAATTATTAAACGAATGTTCATAAATATTCATTTGTGAGTATAAAACAAGTGTGTGAATACTTATAAGCTCATATTTGACATTTGCATAACCTTTTCTCGCTGTCCGATGGTGATTTACTTATTTGGTCTGAATGTTCTTTGTTGTTCTTTAATTTTTTAGAAAAGAAAAAAATTACATAAATCACATATTAAGATATTGAATATATTACATAAAATCTTATAAACAATTTTTTGTAATGGGTATGTGTACCGAGAAATCTTCTAATAACCGATCTCAGACAAAAATCATCCAAACGTCATAACTTATAACATCTACATATGACGTAGGTGGAACAACCAATACATCAC